ACGTGCTTGGAAGAAGAGTGCAATACAAGAAGATTGTTCCTTTCAAACAATGTGATTGTATTGTATACATATATAAATATTATTCCACAAGTTATTTCTATGTGTACCAATACATCTAGAACTTTTTATTATATTATGATTTCTATGTGATAAACCTCATGCTGTTCTGCATAATTTCTCTAATTTTCAGATTTATTTGCACACGTTTTTAAATCGCTTAATATGTATCTTAGGTTTTATTAGCCGATGCGGCCCATAATAATTTTTATTTCTGCTACTTTATTAATTCAGTGGTTCAAATTTAAACATTTTAAAACTGTTTTAATCAGTAATCAAAAAGCTATTTAGCATACGTACCGTACGCTATTTGTTCTCCCAGGCTTAGGAAAACGATGCAAGGTGATGTTACGATCATGAGCAGGAGAACATCCACACTTGTAACATTTCCTTTCGTTTTCTTTCATGATGAAAGATAAAATTGAGTCTCTGTCTCTTTAGCACAATGCACAGCACTTGTTTTTGAGTCTCTTTCTCACTGTAAACACTAAAACAGAGGAACGGGATGTTCAACTCAACGTTATTACTAACGTAAGAAATAAGTTTATATCGAAATATAAACTTAATTTGCAATACAAATAAACAAGAACGCAACAGCAAGCGCAAAGGATCTGCCATTTGTAATTTTGTTTATTTGCTGTTGCCATAACTTGCCTTTTTATTATAGTATTCAGTTTCATATTTATACATTTTGTTACTTCAATAAAGACGTAATAAATATATGTTTAACGAAATATATTATATAATAAAGTATTATAATTATTAAATAAAAAAATGATTAAAATGATGTGTCATTTAAAATAATATTTCTTTCATGGCAATATAACATAACGTGCGAGGGAGATAGATATTTTTCCATCTCGCTTCTTTAAAGCCCCCCAAGGTCATCTCCCAGTGCCAATCTGCTATTAGGAAGTTGACCGGCCCTGATTATAGTATACTCTTTGGCCGTCACCATAGCCCGTCACGGAGCATGATCGTCCCATCCCTCTAACTGACACGAGCATTGGTGAAGGGGGGGGTCTTTCACAATCCTCTTATTCTCCGGATAATGTAGAGGTAATAAAACCACATACAATTCGCAAATAATTTTTTTTAAATTAAAATAATTTTTTAATGTTCAAGTTTTTTGAAAAAAAGTTATTTCTTTACGTTTGAATACTGACTTTGATAACGCACTTAACGGGAACCACAGGGTTTTTGCTACATGTTGTATAGATAATAGGAAACACTGTATTCTGTATAATATCTCATTCTCTCGCAACCAGCTAGGGAAACAAATATGAAAATGTTCGACCAGTAGACACGAATGATTCATTTGCGATGGTCATTAAATGTCGCAATAATTAGTGACCTCGTTTTTCTTCTTCGTATCGCACTTAAAGTCAACAAGCAAATAACATTGAGAGTATCGATTTTGACTCGTTGAAGGAATATGTTCCTAAAGGCATGTAAAGGTTTTGTATTTGAAATATCTACTTCGAGCTTTTTATAAATTGTTAAAATTATTTTCTTAAATTTAAAACTTTTATATGCTTATCTTAATTTGGCTTTCGCCGCTGGTATCTACCACTCTAGTATAATTTTCTTTTGATTATTCATAAAATACTAAAGATATGATAGCGATCCTTTCTGGCCAAGCAACTAAGTTTTAACCATGTTGGATACACATCTTCCATTTACCATCAGTTGAACTCTGTGCTCGCTTGTCACCCTTATTCAATTTAAAAAAGTTGCTATCGTCGGCGGGGCTTGGCAACCGCAACGCAGTTTTTTTTTTTACTATTTTGAACTGTAAATCAGGAAGGTGCTGTTGCCCATTTCCTTCTAACGCCTCTTTTTACATCTAGTGGATGATATGGGGTAGTGGGTTCTCTATGCCACCACTACACGGCAATAGTAGTACAAGTACCTGATAAAGTGTGTGTTTAGGCCAAATATTAACCTTTGAAACTTGAATTAACGACGCGCGCGGCGCGTCCATTCGACGGTACCAGTCACCACCTGGTACCCCCGCTCCCGCTCGCATTCCATTCGAAGGCGCGGCCGCCGAGTTAGTATGGAAAATAATTGTTGCGCGACGGACGGTATTGTTAGTCTAGAAAAGAATTGTTTCGCGGTGGCCAGGCGCGTGCCTCCTATGGAGTTGACTTAATTTGTACGTTTCTTGATAACGAGGCTTGTCTTAAAGTATGAAAAAGATTTTGTCGCGCGTCGGCCGGTTAATTGCTTTTGGAAGTTAATATTGAATTGTAACGTCGCGTTAAGTGCCTTTTTTGTGTCTTGTCTATTTTCGTTCGTTTTACGTGTCAACGAGGCTCTTTTTTGAGTTTTGATTGCTTGTGTGGTATTTAATATCGTACGAAAGAAATTTTTGCTTTGTCGGGCGGAACGCTGAAGCTTTGTGACTCTAGAGGAGATCGCGTGTGCTCGATTATAATTTTTTGCTAAGTGAACATGGAACAATGAACTTTGACCGACTGTTCTTTACTTGTGTCGTGTGTCACTTGTTTTAATTTCGATGAACGTTGATTTGGTAGACTTTGAAGGTAATTAAATGTACAATAAAGTTGATAAACTAATATAGTGAAAATAATAGCAGAAGTTTTCAATTGATGATCGACCACTTGAGGGATCGCACATTTGGAGAAAAGCAGCGCCTGTGGATCTGCGGTCCGACTGCATCGGTTAAGTCAGGTTACATGTACACACTACTACACACTACTCACATACACCCCACTTGCCCCTGACGGTACCCTGTGGTCAACCCTACCTCCGGAACTCGGTAAGTTGTGCTTGCTTATTTGCCATTAATTTAGAATTATCCATAGGCCACTTGGGCCCCGCCCTCTGTTGCCCGTCACGACTACCACTCATGGGCCCTGGTACGGTCGACCTTTGTCGGAGCAACTAAGGGCGTGAACAGTGTGACTCAATACCGCCTGCAAAGCGTAACCTAGTATGACAGTAGACTTAAAATCTGATTTAACTAAAAGTACAGAAATCCTATAATTTGTGTATATAAATAATCATTACATTTATACTGATGTTTAAATGTCCTTGTCCCCTTGAGGCGGCTATATACGTAGGCATTTCCCCATGTCAAAAAAGGCTGTATGATCTAGGACCTTTGCATGCCTGAATTAGCGAATCGTGATATATTTTTGATACAATCAGCATCTTTCGTTGACATTAGTCTGTGTGTATAATTTATGCTCACACGGGAGTTTTTATGGAGTGTAAAGTAGAAGGAGGACCATCTCTATATGTATGAAAAGTGTCCCTAAAAACGTGTCCAATAAGGGTGGCGCTGCAGTAGCATAGGATAAATTAAAAAAAAACGCCAAAAGTAATTAGAATAAGATGGAGAAATAAACAAGGACCGATCAATCCGCTTGGTTTTGTACTACGTAAATAGTTGAGATTTTGTATATTGACATTTTACTAACTACTCTAGTCATGAAATTTTTTAAATATTTGAATTCAGCTGACTTCACTCCGTTCACACAGCTATCTTCATATCGTAGTTTTTCAGACGCCAGCGCTATTGTGGTAGGTTTTGGAACCTCTATTTTCAGTAAATAGAAGCACACTTTTTCAACTTTCGCCCCTTATATGATGGTTCTCCTTGTACTCTACACTCCATAGGAGTTTTGGCACTCCGTAGGAGTAATAGTGTTCTGTGAGTTTTGGCGGGAACTTGACCGGCGGCAGTTTGCTGCTCCCGTATTATTGTTCAAATAATGGTTTGAAATGGATTTCAATATGTAAAAGTGGTGCGATTTGATTTATTAAGTGTCTGCGCATGTGAACTATTAGTGGAAACGGTGAAACAAGTGATCTGATGGGATCTCAAGATAAGGTGTCTGTCTGCTTAGGCACCTTGAGATACTATCGCCAACTATCAGCTGTCTGCTAGCTCAAGTTGCCGTCAAAATTTCCCAAGGGCTGCACAATGTGATGCATCAACATATTGTGAAGCAGTGTACTCATGGACCTAGAAAAAAGAGCGGACAGATTCTCGCTAAGAAACAATTGAAGCACCGCAATGGCGGCCTCGTAACTATGTGTTAGCGTGTAGAGGGTTGCCAAATGGAGGAAGATTACCCATTTTTAAAAGCAATATATTTCAATTATGTTTAAGACATTTGTCACCGTGCTCGGAATCAAGATTTTAAATTTAATAAAACAAATATATTTAAATTGATTAATATTATAATTAATTGGTTATAGTCCACCTTTTGTTGTGTATATATTATTCTACTCGAAATGTTTACCGCAGATTACACTAGATTTAGATGAATTCCAATTGTTTTTATTTCAACAGTCTCTTATTATCATTCTAGTCCTTCTTTCACACATAATTTGCAGAGGGAAATCTATAAAATGAAAAATTTATAATATTGATAGTTTAGTGTTATGTGACACCAAAAGTATATATAGAGGTAGGTAAAATAAAATTAAGGAAGAATTCAAAGTGAACAAAAAGATACTAATCTTCCATATTTAAGTTAACTTGCAAATTGAATAACTGGCAATACTGATGGGTTTCGTGTTTTATTAAATAAATTGAAGTAAAAACGAGATATAAGGTGAATAAATTACACACTTACCTGTGAAAAGTGATCCCCTGCTTTTTTAATGGAACCACTATGGTTTCGATTTTCGACAGGTTTTCACTGCACAAGATGGCATCTTTTGACTCATAACATTACGCGGGCGCGGTTTGGAGCGTAATAGCGGGCGGTAGACGTAGTCAAGTTATGCAGGGGCCGGAGGACGTTTTAAAAATACTAATTTTATTAATTAAAAGATGTTTAATCGCTACAAGAACTCGCTTAAGACTAACTTAATATTTTATGCTTAAAAACTAATGCATGAGAGCCCACACAGGAGCTCGGTAGTTTCCGTTTGTCCACTCAGCACACACCTGTGGTCTACAATTAGAATATTCTGCTGATGCGGACATCTTGGTGGGTCTCGCCACCCATAACACCTTCTTCCTCAAGTTCGAAGTTCTCGTTTACAGGAGAACTTCGGATACAAAAATTAAAGAAATTTAAATGATACTTATGAACTAAGACACAGATTACAATTATGAATAACAGTCCTTACAATAAAATGGTCCATAAGCTAACACTTTTAATCACCACAATTGCCTTTTCACTTTCACTGTTTTTAATTTCACCTTTTCTTAATGCAACTGACAGAAATTTGAGGTCCATAAAATCTATACCTTCTAGGTTCAGCTGCACCGGGGATGACATCTCGAGGGATGAGTTTATTGCACGTAGGTTAATCATAGGTAACATAGGGGGTGAGATGCTTTCAATTTCCACAGGGTTACTTGTTACGAGGGTGGATTGAAAAGTACTCGGCCTAACCAAGAAAATAAACAAATACTAAATCAGTTATATTTTTATTTTTCTACATAATCACCATCAAGTTCAATACACTTTTGCCACCTCCCCTTCCAAGCATTTAGACCGTTGAAAAAAAATGATTCTTCCTTAGAGTCAAAATATGCGTCTACAGCTGCTTTGACCTCGTCGTTTGTCGAAAACCTTTGACCTTCCAAGTGCTTTTTTAGGTTAGGGAACAGAAAGAAGTCTGATGGTGCCAGATCAGGTGAATACGGCGGATGCGGTAACAGTCCAAAGCCACAGTTGTGAATTTCAGCCATTGACTGTACTGACGTGTGAACACGGGCGTTATCTTGATGAAACAGGACTTTTCTTCTGAGCATTCCTCGACGTTTTTCTTTTATTTCCTCTCGTAAACGACGTAGGAAGGTGCAGTAGTAATCAGAGTTTATATTCTGACCCCTTTCAAGATAATCAATCATAATCACACCTTTCGAGTCCCAGAATACTGAAGCCATCACCTTATTTGCCGACAAAATCGACTTAGCCTTTTTAGGGGGTGGTGAACCAGGTCTTCTCCACTGTTTTGATTGTTGTTTTGTTTCCGGTGTACAGTAATGAACCCATGTTTCGTCCATAGTAACAAAACGATTCAAAAAATCATCTGCATCGGCTTCAAATAACTCCAAACAGTCGCGTGAAATAGTCAATCGCATCCTTTTTTGTTCAACTGAAAGCAGTCGCGGAACCCACCTCGCAGACACCTTGTGGAAACCCAACTCGTTGACAATGATGTTTTGAGTTCGTTCATAAGAGATGCCTATAATCTCGGCTATCTCTCTAATTTTTAATCTGCGGTCTCCCATTATTACTTTTTTAATATTTTCGTCAGTAGTTGACGTCGAAGGCCTTCCACAGCGGGGTTCATCTTTCACACTCTCTCTACCACGCTTAAATTCTGCTATCCATTTTTTGACGGATGAATATGACAGAGCACAATCGCCTAATGTACTGACCATGTCATCATGGATGGCTTTTGATGATAGCCCCTTCTTATGGAGGTACTTAATGACGGCACGCTGCTCGATTTGCTCCATTCGCGGAAATTATGTCCGATTACTTTGTTAATAAATTTATAAAATCACAACTAATTATCGCACACGTTTCGAACTTCACACAATGAACTAGTCTGAACTGAACTAAATAATGTGGGTAGATTTGATTTTTAGAATTGAATGGATCTGTGTTAGGCCGAGTACTTTTCAATCCACCCTCGTAGGTTTATATAATTGATTTTGGCTTCACAGTTATCGTCCAATGTTAAGATAAATGTGCCATAAATTTTCCGCCTTGTTATTTCATTATTATAAATCTCGAAGAGTAAAGTAGACTCCTTGGTGTAGATAATCCATCTGTTAGGTTGTATAAGCTGCACCCTTACAGCTTCCAAAATGACTGGAACTTGGATGCATGAGTATATATATTCAGCATAAGTCATCAGTTCTGTGATGCAATCGTCCTTAATTAGCTGGGATGTGTCATCCTCAGGACAGAGATAACTGTATTCATCGGCTTCCTGACAGGGATGAGTAAGTAGTCTAATCTTCGACCCTTTCACTAAAAGGTAGGGGAAGTTTGGAAAAATGACAGTGGTACAGTTATGGGATAGTACGGGTAAGGGCTTATAATAAATATAAGTGTCCTTAGTGACGAAAGGTATTTCCAAAAGATAAGTTATGCTATTTCCTTTCAAATAAGCTTTTACCATTACCGTTCTATTTTAACTAAATTTTCTAATGTAGGAGTGTATAATGGATTCGCCAATCTACCAATTTTTTCAAGTAAAAATAATAATCTTTCAGACTCTATTACAGACTGATGTAATATTCCTAATCTACTCAAAGCTAAAGTGATTTCTATTTCATTCAGTTTTATAAGGATAGCCTGAAAGTTATCAATCAATAGGTTGTACGTACTTAAAATCCGTGTCTCAATATTTATTTATTTATTTATTTATTTTAAAGGACATCCTACAGTAGATACAATATATACTATTTATTGTTTACTATCTTTGAATTACACATTATGCTTATTGAACTACAGATTACAGGTTGTCACAACATGCTTAAATTTAATGAAAAAAAAGTACAAAAATTAAAGATATTAAAGAAAAGGGCCAATATTTATAACATAAATAAATAAAATACATAACAGAGGTGCGTCACTCACTGATAATAATTTTTCTCCTATAATTATGTAAGGTGTCATTAAAAATGTCGAGATCTGTGTCATCAGTTGATTTTATATTATAGGTACGTGTCAAACGGGAAATTGGTGAATTTTTTCCTAGATTACTTTTATGTTTACGTACTTTAAGTATTCCGATTGGATGACGAGGTAGCCGTGTGGGTACCTTTATGGAAAATTTATTAAGCAGATTTGGGCAGTCTATAGCATTATTAAATAGTTTATATAAGAATGTCATATCTAACAGTGATCGTCTTAATTCTAAGGAATGCATATTAAAAATCTTAAGCCTTTTTGTATAAGATGTCCAGCGCGGTAACTGACTTCGATATGCTAAATGTCTGGTTAATCGTTTCTGTAAACGTTCTATTCGCTGTATGTGAGTATTGTAATAAGGTGACCATACTGTACTACAGTATTCTAGCTTACTTCTTACTAGGCAATTGTACATTGTTATGATTGTTCCGGTTTTCTTGAACTCCTTGCCACTTCTTATTACAAAACCGAGTGCTTTATTGGCTGCAATTAAGGTGTTGTTTATATGGGGTACGAAGCTAAGGCGACTATCTAGCGTGACTCCTAAGTCTCGAATCTCTCCCACTTCGGTCAACTTTTCGCCCTGGATGCTATACACTTATTGGTGTTTGTTTCTTCTTCGAGTGAAATTGATATACCGACATTTGGATGGATTAAGTGTCATTTTATTGTGTACGCACCACGTAACTAGGCTATTAAGGTCTTTCTGCAACAGTTCTTCATCCTTTTTGGTTCTAATAGCCCGAGACAATTTCAAATCATCAGCATATAAGAGGGCTGTCGAGTTCTTCAAGGATGATGTGATATCATTAAGGAAAAGAGTAAAAAATAATGGCCCCAGGTGTGATCCTTGTGGTACTCCTGATAAGGCTGTAAATGAATAAGATTCATTGCCATCCAATACGACTTTAAGTGTGCGTGCCTCTAGGTATGATTCACACCAAACAAAAAAAGGTTTTGTTATACCAAATGATTTCAATTTACGTAATAGGGTTTGGTGATCGACACTATCGAAGGCCTTCGCAAAATCAGTGTATATGCTGTCTATTTGCAAGCCATTATCAACTGCTTCTGCTAGATTAGAAACATGATCTATAAGATTTGTATTAGTAGATCGTTTTGTTACGAAACCATGTTGATTGTGACTAATAATATGCTTGATATGATTGTACAGGTGAGGATATACTAGTGCCTCAAAGGTCTTCGACAGAGTCGAAAGGATTGAGATTGGACGATAGTTGCAGATTAGTTATTTATTGCCAGCTTTGAAAATAGGAACAATCCTTGCTTCTTTCCATTTTGAGGGAAATATGCCAGTTGTCAAAGAAGTGTTGAAAATGGTAGAAAGAGGTTCAGCTAAGGAACGTGCACATTTGTTAAAAAATATTGGTGGGATGTTGTCCGGTCCCTTTCCTTTAGTACAGTCAAGTCTTTTTAATTTTTTAATTATTGCTTTAAATGTTATTTGGTAGTTCTCCATTTCTGGTAGTACAGGGGAAGTTGGTATTTGTGGGTGGTCGTCATCGCTGTTACTTTTTACGTAAATTGAAGAAAAGTATTTTGCGAATAAATCGCAAGTTTCTTTTGTGTTGTATGCTTTCTAGTTGCCAAGCGTCATGATAGGAGGAAATGAAGAAGAATTTTTTCGCATGTGTTTAATATGCACCCAGAAATATTTGGGATTTTTTGATATTTTGTCTTCAATAATTGTAACATATTTTATGTAGCACTTATTTATTATACGATTCACATCTTTTCTTATATATTGAAATTCAATTTGGTCTAGCGGATTGTTGTATTTTTTAAATTTGGTAGATTAGAGTGTTCTCTTTCAACTATACTACTTAAGTTATGTGATAATGTTATAATATCTTTATTAATTTTTATCAGATTTTCATTTAATTTTAATGTAGAATTTGTCACAGATTGTATTATTTCTGTGATCAACGTCATTCTGTTGTCATTACTATTTTGTTTGACTTTTACTTCTGTAATTAATTTATCGTATCTAACGGCATCATCATTATCGAGATTTCCAGTGACTATCTTAATTAATGAACCTAGTGGGTTAAGTATACCGCGTCGTGTTCTAAAAGAAGGGGTTATTTGTTCAAGCTTATTAATAGTTAAATTCTTAATATATTCTACTTGTGTATTAACATCTACAAAGTTATATGAAAAATTCTTATTTAAATTATTAACTATCTTATTTAATTCGGAAAACCTTAGTACATTGACTTTTACATCCTCTATGAATGGTTTGAGATCTATTATTTTGGCAATGATCCATTTATCGTTACTGATGACGGCAGTTCCTTGTTTCACGGGCAGTATTCCAGGATTGCTATTTAATTCCTAAAGTTGAAGGGCCTGGAGGCGCGTCACCATGGCTACTACCAGAACGAGCAGGAGGTGCCTGTGAAGGGCGTTTTACATTATTTAGAGGAACTTTACTATCACGTCCTTTAATGTTTATGGGAATAATATTTCTACTAATGGTGTCGGTTACTAGGGCCTTTGAAAACGTGGCTTATCTTTACTACACCTTTTATTAGTACCTTTTGCATAAATAGTGTCTCCGGGTTCTATCTTAAATTCTATTTCTCCACCTCTCTTTTCAATAATCTTTTCTTTCTTTTGTATGGCTTGTTCTGTTAGATGTTTATAGAGATATTTAGTACGCTTTGCATGTTCTTTAACTAACTGTTGTAAATACTGTTTTTCAAAATCTACGGCAAATGTATGTCGTGAGTCTGTATGTCCTAATAAAACTTCAAAAGGTGTTAAGCCTGTAGCAGAGTTTATGCTATGATTGTATGCCATTATTGCGTATGTCATTATGGAATGGGCGTCTGTATATTTGTGTTCATGCTTTGATAATCTATATATTTCCAAGATGTTTGAGTGGAATCTTTCAACCAATCCCATAGAGTTATGAGTGGAATCTTTCAACCAATCCCATAGTGTTAGAGTTGTTAGGGGTACCAATAAGGAAAGTAATTCTTTAAGTAACGCATTGTTAAACCAGGATCTGAACTTATTTTGTGGGGGACACCGTAAAAAGAAAAATATTTAAGAAGAGCTCTGACGACTTCGGGCGTCGACCTATTAATTATTTCAAAGGCCTGTCCTAATTTGCTAAAGGCATCGATTATTGTTAAGTAATAGTGACCTTCGATTTTAAAGAGATCTATGAAAATTTCTTCAAGAGGTTAATTTTGGGTTTGCGTCAGTTGGAGTTTAGGTTTCATGGGGTTGCGATCATATTTCATACTTTTACATGCGTCATATGAATTTATTACACTGGCTATGATTTGGGCCATATTATGCCAAAAGTTTGATATGGGCTAGGGTTTCTTTGATACCACGATGACAAGTTTTTCCGACGTGATATTTCTGAACTATGTCTCTTTGTTCTTTTTCATTATCTACGTATATGACTCTTTTAGTGCATTCGTAAAATTGTACAAGTTCCCTTTTAAATAAGAAAATTACTAATTCCGAGAATTGTTTACGATGTTCTTCATTTTCAAAGTGAATGAAGTATTTAGTTTTATTCCTAGTGTATTCTTTCAGAAATTGTTTTACTAAATCTGGTCGGTTTAAAGGTAAGTGTACTTCTAAGATTTTTTGTTTTTCCCTAGACAGATTATTTACAGATAATTTGTCTATGTTCCAGCTGAACACTAAAATTTGATTGGGTTTGGTGTCGATCGCTTCCTGTAAGATTGGAATTCCCTGTGATTCAGTGTCTTGTCCTGAATGTGCGGTTTCTATACTAGAGGGTTTTTCAGAGGCGGTGCTACTAGAAGCGTACGGTATGGAATAATCAGATTTAATTGATAGGGTTTTATCTGAGTCGGTATCCTCTATAACAATAGCCTTCTCAGAGTCTGTGTCTGAAATAGACATAGATTCCGGAGGTTTAAGTGTTCCCTTTTGCAATTCGTCTAATTCTTTAATGTCTTTTATTAAGTCCTGAATTTCCTTATTTTTATCTTCGTGTTTATCTACATTTGCACAAGTGGATGAAATTTCCTTTTTATTTAAAGCATTAATTCTAATTCTTTGTTCGTAACGCGGGACTATTTTAATTTCGTTGGTTGGATTGATAATTATGGGTATATTTGTGTAATTTGTCTGTAATATTTGATTTTTCATGTCGATTGTGGAATCTAATTGTTTAAAAAGATCACTTCCAATAAGTCCGTCATAGCGGGCGTCGACATCATATACATAAAACTTATGTACCTGATCACTATTGAAAATCGGGAATAGGGGTATAATTATTACTTCATCATGTAAACTAGATGTGTGTGTACCGATAACTTCAAATGGTTCATAACATTTAAAGTTCGCATAATATTCGTTTGTTTTAAAAGGGCTTATGAAAGATCTAGAACTTCCGGTATCAATCATAAACTTAGCATTAATTTCGGGTATTACTATATATGGTAATTTTAATTTAGGATTACAATTTATGTGTATTTGATTTGACTTGATTGGATCCGAGGCTATTATTCGAAAATTTTCGCAATAAGTAATTTCGTCTTCCGTTTGCGTGTGGTCTACGTCACAGTATTGGGTGTCGCCATAAGTATCGTCACCGTTTTCGTTAAGCGCGTATAACTCGTTCATACGAAAACCTTGAGGTTTCACAGGTGGGGCTGTACGCATACTTACATCGGTCGATTGAAGTTGCAGTAGTTGTAAATAAGGTGGTGGTCTATAACCAGTGGGTTGGTGACCTTGGTTAAAGTTTGGTCTATATCCGAACTGTGGTGTTACACCTAATTGCGGTTTATATCCTATGGGTTGTTGAGGGGGTTGCGGCCTAGTTCCAAATTGTTGGGGTTGCTGTGTTGGTAGCTTAATTTGCTTGCTTGGCGGTATTCCAAATTTAAATTTTGGTTGAAATTGCACATTACGTTCTGGTTGAGATTGCTGAGGCTGTTGAAAGTGAGGTCTCGTGTTCGGTGTGTTTTGGGGTGTCTTAATTTTAAAACTTTGTTGTGGCATTTGTGTATTTTGTGAGAAAAATGGTTTCATTGAAAATTTATCAATGAAGGGATTTTGAGACACTGGCTGAGGTTTATGTTGGGCGTAATTTGGTAATCGTAACATTTTATTTCTCGCCTGATATTGGTATAAGAAATTAACTTCTTCAAGCACTATGCTTAAAGCACTTTCCTTTTAACCGTACAATGCGCAATAAATCCTCAGGCAAATTATATAAGAAAACCTTCATAGACATATGGTTATATATAGTAATTTTACTCTTACGAAGGTTAATATCTACTACTCTATTAACTTTCGCTATTAAGGTACTCTTTATATATTGTATTGCAGAAATCGAGATATGATTCGCCGTTATTAATTTTTAAAGTTTCCAACTCTATGCGATACACTCTTCAGACCGTGGATCACCGAAATGTTAATTTTAATTCTCCCCTTGTTTTGTTTTTCCTATTTCTCTACACAACTGTATAACATATTCACATTTACGAATAAATAAGTTAAGTAAATTTTCATCACCGTCAAATTTTGGAATAATACAAGAAAGTTCCTTGGGAATCTGTATTATTTTAGGCATTTTTATTAAAGTATATTTATAATTAGTTTAATTAATAGTAATATTTAATAAAATTTATAATAAATCTTTAATTTATAAGTTGAATTTAATTTTAATTTACTCATTTCTAAATAAAAGAAATAATAACGCAATTCGAATTTTGGAAATAACGCTACCACTTTCTAGACACTTATAATTAAAATGGAATAGGATTGGAAGATGCATATGGAATAGCGATTGAGTCTACTCACATACTGTCCATGTCCCTCCGATGAGTCTTAGTTCTGTAGCGTGACGTCCTCGCTGCTTTTCTTCTCGACGAATTTATTTGGTTCGTGGATTTTCGTTGAAAACGTTAGAAAACGCTCGTCGTATTTAACTGAATTTAAGTAAAACGCGACACGAAAATCCTACCGGCTGCGCCAGTCAAGTTATGCAGGGGCCGGAGGACGTTTTAAAATACTAATTTTATTAATTAAAAGATGTTTAATCGCTACAAGAACTCGCTTAAGACTAACTTAATATTCTATACTTAAAAACTAATGCATAAGAGCCCACACAGGAGCTCGGTAGTTTCCGTTCGTCCACTCAGCACACGCCCGTGGTCTACAATCAGAATATTCTGCTGATGCGGACATCTTGGTGGGTCTCGCCACCCGTAACAACGTACTATAGTGTGCATGTTTGTATTAGCCGGCTTGTTTGTATTAGCAAGCTTACTTAGGGCTGCCATACACACTCAATCTCGATCGCCATCGGTGATCATAATCAATGATCGCGATCCAGATTGATAATGTACGAATTAGATTAATGTATCAGATCACAAAATATATAGATATTTTGAAATTAAGATCGCAATCCGCTGATCGTGATCTAGATTGAACGTGTAAGCGCAGGATTGCATCATTCTTGCTATGCGCTTCAATGAAAATGGGCGTCGATGACACGCGCTCCCCGTAGCCGCGGATTGAGTAGACGAATTCACCTTCGTTACCTCAATTTTTTAACCAGAAGATTTCATCATACATTTGAAAACTTTAACAGACCTATGGATTCCCCAGCATAAATATAATACAAATAATATAAATATAATAAAAAATATATGGAGTTATCATTTGTAGTAACTCATCGAAACATTTTTCCCCCATCCTGAAGTAGTTTTTATAATCGTCAGTTTCAGCAGTTAGCTGAATTTATTTTAGTACATTTAAGCGAGTGTACATTTCTTTCTTAAGTAGCCACTGTTTAACCCACTGCCCTTTTCGAATCCTTTTCTTCAAAGTAAGGACCAAAACAAGTGATACTACAGCTTTAACCTCATGTAAATTCATGACCACAGAGTACTTTTTAATATGAGAAGACAACAGACGTTATTAACGCGGCGGTTATGATACACGGACTGAAGAAATCAAGATTGAACGTGAAATGTTGTGCTGCGATCCCGTGATCCATGATTGCGATCAGAACTGTGTGATTGCAATCGAGATTGAGTGTGTACGGGCTGCCATACTCTGGGTCAGTCAGTAAATGTTTTAAAAAACGGCGTCCGCTCTTTTTTCTAGGTCCATGAGTGTACTATGAAAGATAATTATACATTGTAACTTCAGGTTCAGAAGGGCTAGAACCCAGAGCCGGAAAGCCAGTTATAAAAAAATTAACAACAATCAACAACAGTTTGTGACAACAACAATATTACATACTCTACCAACTGTTGGAATTAGAGAAAAAAAAATGATTTTGATTGTGTGAGAAAATTTTAACGAATTAACGAATGACCACCATTGTGATCAATTGATTAACGCTATGCATTGCAGACATGAGCGCCGTATTAACAAGATGTAGAGTGAGTCCAGCACAATTAGATTTGCTTTTATCGTTTATGGAAGAACACCCCGACTTCGCAGCTGGCAAACAGTCTATATATTCTCGTTTTAGCTCTAGTAAGCTTTGGCGCTTGCTGGCCGAACGGTTAAACGCAGCTGCAGAATACACAGGTGGCGCGAGAAAGTCGCCAGACAAGTGGTGCAGAGTAAGTACACAAATGTTCATAACTTTGTTAACAATAATGGTCACATAATAAAATTTACCAAATATATATAAAGTTTAATAAATATATATAAGGTAAATATGTTGTATGTGTATTTTTATTACATTATATTATACACAACAATATTATTTACCATGGCTTCTCAAACGAAATTAACCTTTTTGATTTTGTTTTCACTAAAAATAACTAGTATACATACTGTTTTATGGAATATTAAAGATTGTTTAATAAGGCCCGCCATATACATACGGAATTCCGTTTCGAGATTCCGTTTCGGAATTCCGAACGGGTCGGCCACACACATACGGAATATTGTTTTGCCCGCAAAATTTCGAACGGAAAACTACCGCACGTGTGTGACGGGTCATAGATTTTATATGGAATTGCTGCGTTCGGGATTTCGTATCGGAATATCGAAACGGAATCCCGAAATGGAATTCGGTATGTATGTGGCTGGCCTAAGACTAGAACAAATTGTTTCTTCAGTTGATACATGTATATTTGCTGTTAGTGTGGCATTGTTTTTTTTTTATAGGATAAAGGTGACAAACGAGCACACAGTCCACCTGATGGTATGTGGTTGCTGCGGCCCATAGACATCTACATCTATCCTCTATTACAAATCAAAATGCAGATGTGTTTTCACCAGTGAGGACTAGGATGGAATGCCTCATTTCCAGTAAAAAGGGCCTCTGGCCACCTGCACTCACCAAGCGAAACGCAGAGGTAAACCACTCTAATTCACGCTGGTATTCTGTGAGGTCGTGGTACCACCCCGGTTCGCGCCGACCCATCCGTGCGACAGCAAGAGCTGCCACGTGGCTTTACCACTATTAAATTTGTTAATTGTGTTAATATGATTATAACAAGAAAATACAGAAAATTATAATATATGTTTAAGTTTTCTTGTTTAACTTTCAGTACTGGGCAGACATAAAATACAAGGCTCGAAAAAAAAGTGCCGCTGGTGGTTCATTGGGAGATCTTTCAAATGTAGAAGAACGGTTGCAGAATATATTAGGAACAAGACCATCAGAGTGTAAGAAATGTTTTATATAAGCTTTTGCAATTAATGCACACAATATTGTCTAAAATTGGATTATGAGAACCTTTTTACTTGACTAAATAACTTAAGCCGTGGTAGCTCAAATGGTTAGCGCTCGTTGTAAGTTTCACAGTACTCGAGCAACCCATGTTAGATCCCCGCCGGCACCAATGAAATTCTTAATTGCAATTTTAAGTGCTGATTTACCACATGCTCGGCGCTGAAGGAGAACAATATGTAGAAACCTACATATCTGAGAAATAATAAAAAAAAATATTTCAAAGACGTGAAATTCGCCAACACGCATTGGGGTACCGCAGCGGACATTTCCTAGCCCTAAAACCCTCTCAGAAATGAGAGGCAACCTGTGCCCAGCAGTGGGGCGTAAATAGGCTGCAACTTTACTTTTTAACTTTAAATAACTTATTTATTGATCTGAAGAGAATCATCATATCTTATTGCAACACCAAATACTTCAATTTTCTTCAGAAAATCACAGTACAGGTGGTGAAAATATGAGAAAATTCAACCTTGTTATACCAGTTACTACACTCCACTTGACTATACAGAAAACAACCAAAACAAAATTTTGCTAAAATGAGTTATGTACCTCATAATTAACTAGATTTTTTGTTCCATATTCTTCATAAGATGACAAATTTTTTGCACCTCAACTTTTTGAAATAATGTAATTATGTTGAAACAACTTCTAAGCATGTGCCTCTTTGAAAGTGTCAAAAGCAGTCAACCTATTCGATTTAGTCTATATCACCCGTTAAAATCATATTTATTTATTCAGCGGAAAAGACCAAGTTTTAGTTGGGTTCAGCAAAAAAAAAAGTTTACTATACTATACTATATTTTATTATTTCGCAGAAAACCGTCAGAGTATTGGTCACATTTAGCAATTTTATTTATTTTAAATACCCATTTTTGGTCGTTTTAAACTGAACGTAAGGTAGTTTCAATTATTTTCCAGGAGGCAATTTACTTGAATTAAATGATTTTTTACATGATTGTAATAAATCATTTTACAATCATGCTGAGTATTGTCAAGTAAATTTGTTTTTTTGTTTTCAGTTCTTTTTTTAATTTTGTAATAAATTATGAGATATATATTTCTAACACGTTTCCCTAAGCGCTCAGATATGGAGTTGCGGAAAACAGCCCGCCGTAAACCAAACTAAATGACGAGATATTCCAAATAATTTTTACTAAAAACAGTTAGCTTTTATAGCTGCTTCGATATAAATACGCATGTTTTTATTAGAAATCTTAACAGTGTTGAAACAGCCAGACTTGTTTACCATAGCATAATGTCATATGGTATTTTGCTATGACGACAACCGCTGAAATTATATTTGTTTTACAGAAGAGGGCTATAGGACTATATAAGCAATCTATGATTTAAAACCTAAAGAGTCGCTCCAACAAAAAATTAAGAAAATTAATATATTAACATTGGCCTTTCAATCATCATCATCATCATCGCAGCCCTTCACTAGTCCACTGCTGAACATAGGCCTCCCCCAAGGAATGCCACAAAGCACGGTCTTGAGCTACCTGCATCCATCAACTTCCTGCATGCCTTACCAGGTCGTCAGTCCATCTAGTGGGGGGACGCCCTACACTTCGTCCGCCGGTACGAGGCTGGCCATATATGGCCGGCCAATTTCCACTTCAGCTTACTAATCCGTTGGGCTATGTCGGTCACTCTGGTTCTACTGTGGATATCCTCATTTTTAAGTTTATCACGCAGAGAAACTCGGAGCATAGCCTTCTCCATAGCTCGCGGAGCGACCTTGAGCGTCCTTATCTGGACAGCAGTGAAGAACCACGTCTCAGTACTATAAATCATCACTGGCAACACGCACTTGTTGTACAGTCTCGTTTTCAAGTTTTGAGGTATACCTGATGAGATGTGCCGTAATTTCCCGAACACTGCCCAGCCTTGTTGTATCCGTCGATTGACCTCTCGGTCGAAGTTGGATTTACTATTTGTCCCAGGTAAACATACTCGTCAACAACTTCGAATTTAGTGTTCCCAACAAGTACCGGCATAGGTGTGACATGGACGTTATACATGATCTTTGTTTTGTCCATGTTCATCTTAAGCCTATCCGTTGGGAGGCACTATTGAGGTCATTGAGCATAGTCCTTAGGTTCTCCAGCGATTCTGCCATAAGGACTATATCGTCGGCAAATCGAAGGTGAGTGATGTACTCGCCGATGATATTAATACCGTAACCTTTCCATTCCAGAAGCTTGAAAACGTCTTCCAATACAGCGGTGAAGAGTTTTGGGGATATAACATCACCCTGTCTTACACCTCTGCAATTGGATAGGTTTCGTACTATGGTTCTGTACTCGGATAGCCATCGTAGCCCTACTGTACAAGCACTTCAACACTTCGATATACCGACAGTCAACTTGGCACCGCTGAAGGGACTGCAGCACCGCCCAAATTTCGACGGAATCAAAGGCTTTCTCATAGTCCACATACGCCAGACATAGTGGCAAATTGTACTCCTCGGACTTCTGTACAATTTGCCGAAGTGTATGTATGTGGTCTATGGTGCTAATGCCTTTTCGGAAACCGGCTTGACTGGAAGCCGTCGAGTCTGCATGCGAGACGATTTGTAATGACTCTCTAAAACAACACTTTGACGCCTCAGAAGGGAAATCGATCCGTAGTTCTTCAAGAGAGCGTTGTCGCCTTTCTTGAAGAACAAGACCACCGCACTTCTGCGCCACGCCTCCAGTGTAGTGCCACCATGGAGAACGGAATTAAAGAGCTTCTGAAGGACTTCAAGTACCGGTTTTCCACCCGCTTTTAGAAGCTCCGCCGTAATTCCATCCTCGCCTGGGGCCTAGCCGTTTTTAAGGTGCTGGAGAGCCATTCTAATCTCGCTGAGATCGACGTCCGAAATATCATCGGAATAGTGTCGGATAAGGCTCTTGGATCGTTACTCACACTTGCGTGTGGCTTCAACGATGATGTGTACAGCTGCCCATATAACCTCTCAGTCCACTCAAACTCTCAGGTGTCCCGGAAACTACGCTGCCACACTCGGTCTTCAGCTTTGACAGTTGGCTCTTTCTGGCAGACAGATCTCTAGCAAAAACTATGGAGCCCTGGTTCCGATCGATCGTTTCTTCAATACGAGCAGTATTAAAGTTGCGTAAGTCCCGCCGCATGCATTTGAAGATCTGTCTGTTCAGTTGCGTGTATGCCGTCAAATCTACTGAAGACTGCAGCTTAATTTCCCGTCTAACGTCTAAGAGATTGAGAGTGTGATCGGATAGAGCTCCGACCGCATAGACAGTTTCTACGAGCTTGTTATTTACATCGTCTACTGCATTGCAGTCTTCTAGGCACTGAAAACGGTTTTGCAGCTTGAGCTGAAAGGTTTCGGGACTTTGGATTAGAGCACGAGGGGGACGGAGCGTTGACTTCATTAGACGTGACCTCTCCAACTTAACATTTAGGTTCAGTGTGCCTCTCACCATTCGGTGATCGCTGCCGGTTTTCGCCCTCGCGATCACTGAGACATCACTGAACAGTTGTCGTCATAATGAAGTCAATCTCATTTTTTGTCGAACCGTCGGGGCTCGACCAGGTCCACTGCCTGTGGGGCCGCTTCTGAAAGAAAGAGTTATCATAAAGAGTCCCTCTTTTTCCATGGAGTCGGCCAGCTGCTGGCCCCTTGGGTTCCGTTGCCCTATTCCAAATTTCCCTACTTTCAGCTCACCATTCTCTCTTGTGCCTAGTTTTGCGTTTAAGTCTCCCATTAACACCGTATAGTGGGTTTTGTAGGAATGCACGGATCTAGATATATCGTCATACATCTTCTTCACCTCAAAAAGAGTATACTTTCAAACTAATCGTCACGAATTTTAACCACATTTGTTTTTTTTTTTAAGAGTAAGGGTGACAAACAAGCACAAAGTCCACCTGAAGGTAAGTGGATGTTGCCGCCCATAGACATCTATGCCTATCCTTGATTAAGAATCAAAATGCAGATGCGATACCACACCTGAAGACTAAGATAGAATGTCTGGTTTCCAGTAAAAATCTCATTCTCTACACTTACCATACAAAACACAGCATCATTGAGCTGCCATTTTATACTTGTATTATCTGAGACAGTGATTCTTTCCCAGTTGAGGCCACCCATTTGTGCTACTACCATATTATAGCTTAACATGGCTCTACCATCTGTGATAATTAAAGTCTATTTATATTTATGAATGAACCCAATTATATATGCAGCAGGTGGAGGGCGAGGCGGCAGCAACTCTGACGAGGAGCGCAAGCCGACACTTGACGACGACATGTTCTCTGAGGGTTCTGGAGCGGCGGCTGGTGAAGGACGGCTCAGCACCGAAGAGTTACTTGCAGAAGCTGCTATGCGCAGCGCTCTTGCTGCAGAGAAACAGGCAGAGGCCGTCACTCAGGCCGTGGACCTGCTGCGCGATTTGGTGACATTACTGCGGGAACGCAATCAGCCAACAAACTCGCAACACGTACAGCACACAGTACAGCAACACGCAGTACAACAACACACAGTGCAGCATACAGCGCAGCACGCTCAGCACGCGCCCGATCATACGTTGGCTGCCATGCAGCACCATCATCATCGTCTTTGATTCCCATTAATGGGTATATGTGTAGTGTGGTGCTAATTGAACTGTGCTAGCTGAGAAGACAGAAGTTTCCGACTGATCTCAGAATTCATCCAGTTATAATGTAACCTTTGGAGCAGGTTAGTCTTGTTACGGCACTTTTTATAGAATAAGGGTAGAGAACACAGTCCACGGGATAGTAAGTCGATGCTGTGGTACATAGACATCTATCCTAGAATCGAAATGCAAATGTGTTGTCACACCTAAGGTCTAAGATGGAATGCCTCATTTCCAGTCAAAATGTTCTTCAGTTCTCTACATTCACCATACGAAATACAGCAGCATTAAGTTGCTATTTTAACCGTCTTAACGCGTTTTGTGAGAATGTAGCTGTAGTCCTATTCCGGTCGAGCCGACTCATTCATGCTACTTGCATTTGCTAAAATTCTTGTAATATGCTCTTTCTGAGCATATTTGTAACCCTTCCTCAGCTCTACTTGTAATCAAGATTTACTCATTACCACAATGACATTTGTTTAAAGTTACAATTAGTAGTAGCAGTATGATTGTTCGGACTATTGTGATATTGACTTTGTAACATGTTAGTAAGTGGCATGGATTGCTGACCTTCCTATGTGTCAATAAAAGCAGTAAATTATTTGTCTGTAGGGGTATGAGATAAACAAGGGTGGTGGTGCTAATCTTGCTGCCTGATTTGCTCGATAATAGTTGTTAAGTATTCAATCATTGGTGCAAAATGCTATAAAAGTTCAAAGTAAATAATTGTAATATGAAAATGAATCTGTGCAAAACTTAACCAACACTCACACAGTTCATAGGATATAGGTCAGTCGCTAGCTTAATGGAAGCTTTGTGTTAACATATTTCAGGTAGTGTGTAAGAGGAAATGGATTTCTTTTTACTTGTACTGGCTTATGCTAATATTTAAAGAAGCAGAATTGATAGTTTAGAATCGAAATTAATTTTTTATTACAAATCAATGTAACAAGTATACACTTTATTAACAAAGATGAAATAAATATTTCTTCTATTAGTAAAATTTACTGTACCTTCTTTTATTTATATTTTATTGCCATTACTAATATTATGTCTATGCCCGTCTCTTTTTATTGTCACTTATTAAAAAGAGAAAGGCAATTTTAAGCAATTCACACACAGTATAACTACAATCTACTTGTAATCGCACTACAACCACAAAGCTTCTGTAATGTATCCAATCGAACAGTACAATAACCCTATTGTACAAATACCCATTTCAACCATGTGAAAATAAATAAAAAAATGCATATTTATGATAGGTTTAGTAAAAAGTAAACGAGAAATATTGATCTCTATTCATAAAAATTCATTATAAATTTTTTAATTAAATTTTAAGAATATTTTTTTAAATCTGTATATCAAAACGTCTCGTGACGCCACTGATAAAGTAAATAGTTCATGGAAGATGGATTCAGAAAAGCACAAAGTTAATAATCTACCAAAAATAAACAAAAAATATGGTGGTAATTTTTTTTGCATGCAATCCCCTTTTTTGTTCTGGCGAGTTGAGGAATGTTAAAACATTAATGTAAATACCTATTAACAACTTTATATAATAACAATACTAGATCAGTGTCTTTTGATAACATATAGTTATGTTTATCTATGATTACAATCATTAGTTACATCTAAGATAACTTAATTTTTTACAAAATTTGACTTGCAATACCTATCACCTCATGTTGTTTTGTTTTGTATAAAAGGTAGTTAAATATAAGTTATACTTACATCAAAATGAACTTCACAGAAGTATAGTCTAGTTTTTGTAGACAATGTCTTCAGGCCTCTTCTTGCCAGTTTTAACCAAGTGTTTTTTATATTTAAATAAGTTGGCACTTCAATTCATAACTTCTTCGGCGTTCTTATGCTCGTATTTTTGCATTCAGGTATAACACCAATGACAAAGATGATAACTCATTATTAATAATATAAAAATATTTTATTCCTTTGCTAAATCGTTTTATTTACTTAATTAGTGACGTCACGAGCTGAACAGCATAGCGGCTAGTGTTTTTTTTTTTTGTAGGATCGGGTGACAAACGAGCACACAGTCCACCTGATGGTAAGTGGTTGTTGTGGTCCATAGACATCTACATTTATCCTCGTTTGCGAATCAAAATTCAAATGTGTTATCACCCGTGAGGACTAAGATGCAATGCCTCTTTTCTAGTAAAACGGGTCTCCGGTTCTCTACACTCGCCATACGAAACACAGTAGCATTAAGCTGCTATTTTACGTTGGTATTCTGTGAGATCCATTCGTGCTACAACTATACTACTAATATAGCGGCAGCATGGCTCTACCACGTTTTTTCGCTAAAATATAAAACGATAAATTAAAAGTAATTTTTATGGCACTATTCGGTTTAAAAAAATTATAGTGGTTTTATTATCACTTTCGGATTCATTTAAAACATTATTTGAAAATGGGTGTAATACTCTATTGTGTAATTATGATGGAAATCTTGGTTAGTTTAATTTTTACAGATGATACTTGAATTCATTGTAATGTGTTGATGTATCAATATGAATTATAAGGTGATGTCTTTTTAAAACACTTTTATTAACTTGCCCTGTTGCACTTCCAGACATCTGAACCTGACACGACATTACAATAATAAATTCTAAGATTCAGTATTCTTACTAGGCTCATCAAGTCACGATCATTGCATTATTTAAGCCGAATAGAGCGGTTCCCCAAGTATTATTCAGTCGTAGTGTGGTGCAGAGCTTCGTAATATGTTATTTTGTACTTAGTTTAGTTACTGAATTTACGTGTGTGATTGGAGAAACAAATAAATGCTTTATCTATCTATCTATCTATCAGAGCCAGGCGTGGTAGGTGTATGCGCTTTAGGTCGGCGGGGCGTGCCATCTGATGTATCTGAAACTTCGCAGACGTGTGAACCGATAATACTGCAATAATTTCTACGATTTAAAACTCAGTAGGGTGATCACAAGTGAGGACGAATGGGTTAAGCTAAAGTGGTATTTTATCGTGTTGAGATGGGTGTGGATGTGCGTGCGTGAGTCCGGCTCGGCTGGCCACGTGGTCGTACACCTCGTCGGCGCGCAGGCGGGCGCGCGCGGCGCCGTGGCGCAGCACGTGGCGCAGCGTGGCGGGGCGCGCCCGCAGCGCGGCGGCGCGCGCGCGCAGCGGCGCCAGCGCGTCGCACAGCGCGCCCGCCACCACGCGCTTGTACTGCGCCGTGCTCAGCCCCGCCGCCTCCTCCACCGCCTCCTCCGGCAACTTGTCCGCGGCCAGGCAGTGCAGCGTCACCAGGTTCGACACGCCCGGCCGCCGCTCGGGCTCGTACGTCACCTGCACACAGTCAAACGCACGATCCTATCGAACACGCCAATGTACCCACTCTGCGCCCCTTATACATTGTGCACTAAATTTAGTTAAAGTTACAGCCTACTATGTCCCACTCCAGGAAAAGGGGCTTCTTATTTCTGATGTTTTTTAGGACTAGGAAAAGTCCGCCGCGTGGACCGATGCGTGTTGATGGACTTATCTTCGAAATATTTTTTTTAATTTCTAAAACATGCAGGTTTCCTCACGATGCTTTCCTTCACCATAGAGCACGTGGTAAATAGACACTTAAAATTGTAATTAACAATTTGCACTAAGTTACGCTCAAATCTATGTAACTAAAGCTTCAGTATAGTTGAATTGTACAAGCTCAACTAACCTCTGGAGTAAAATCGGTGACAGCTTTTCTTATTTTGAGACTTATAGTTTCATCTGAGTCTGTCAACAATATTCTTGATTTAGGATCTGGTTCAGACTTGGACATTTTCTTAGAAGGATCCCGTAGGCTTTTTATTCTATCACTGCCATCATCTGCAAAATACATTACACATTTTTCACACAATTCTAATTCTGAATAAGAATTCAGGCAATAAGACATCATAATATGGGGCATATTCCTTATAGAATAGAATAATTTTTATTCAATATTGATTACAAACAAGTCTTACTGAATGTCATTTTTTTACATTACCAAAAAAATTCGAAAAAAGTTCGAAAAAATCCTCTATCCTGGGACGAACCAGCAAGAAACCCAACGGAACATTTTCTTTAAAATAAATTTTATAATATAAATTATTAGAAACTATTTACAAAACTTATTTTAGTAACAGCATGGAAGCAACCACCTCATTCCCATGGGTTATTATCAACCATGTATTCATTTATATTATAATCCTTTTTATACAGTTTTTGTTTAATTAACCGGTTCAGTGCAAGTGACACAACAGGCGTACCATCGATTACTTTTGTGTGTGGCGTATGACACGCGGGTCGTGTCTTTTTTAAAAATCGTCATAACTCGCTCAAATTGCTTTTTTGGAAAATTTATCCAGAACAAAATATTCACTATTTTGCGAGTAGTTCATGCATGCAGCTTCATTTCTGGATATTTTGAAAATTTTTAAGGGTTGACAACCTTTTTTTACGTGTACATGGTACTATTTTTACTTTGTGGGATTTAAATCATGTTATGGAAAAATTGTCTAATAAGTAACAAATAATAGCACTCTTTGCGATCGCTCACAAACTCAAGTTGTAAATAAATTTCTGGAAAACAAGTCTCCTGTTAAAAAAAACAATGCATTTGTCTTATTGTTTAATTTTGCTTAAAATGGTTGAACTGCCGTCTTATTACTATCATATGGCCGAATAGACCTACGAAGTACCATGTGCTCTTGTGATATGGTATAAGGTTTATTTTTGCTTGAAACAGTTCGAAACCGTTCATGCATAAAAAAAGTTCGCTAATAAATAGTCTTTTGTCAATCCGCCGCCGTATAGCCCCATTTTTTAAGGTCCCTAAGTTGTATCGGTCTGGAAAAAATGGTATACACAAATATTTGAATTATATAGCTGTATTAGGATATATACCGGGCAGAAGAGGTCGCGGTGTGGGGAAGGCGGGTCCATACCGGTGGCGGAAGGTTCGCACCAGCTGCGAGGCCACCTGCAGGTGTTGCAGCTGGTCCACGCCCACCGGCACGTGTGTCCCGCGGTACACCAGGATGTCCGCCGCCTGTTTATTTATTTAGTTTTAAAACGTTACCTCCACATTAGGATTTTCTCCTGTATCATGGGGGCAGTTTACACACGTAATTTATATTTTGTTTTTTAATCGTGAATCCTCATACATAACTAAAGACAATTTTGTCTAAAGCTGACATTCATTAGCACAAGCCCTTGACTCAACCTGGAAATGGTTATGTACCTGAAGCACAGGGTAGAGCATGAGGCCGATAGGAACCTCCTTCATGGTGGCGGATTTCTCTTTGTACTGCGGTAAGTGTGCGAGGCGCGCGTTAGTGGCTAGACAGGCCAGGAGCCAGCACAGCTCTGCGTGGCGCGGTACCGCAGACTGCACGAACAGCACGCTGCGCTCTGGATCCAAGCCTGCAGCCAGCGCCAGAGCTGCCATGTCTAGAACGCGCTCTTGCAGCAGCTGACCATCCTGGGACCGCAACCTTATTTATAAACTATCATCCATTTAAAATCTATTTGAAGACAAATCTATCATGAAAACTAGGTATATGCACATCCCAGTTATATATATATATATTGTTTTATTTTATAGAAAATAAGGGTAGTAAACGAACAGTCTACCTAAGTGGATATTGTGGCCCATAGACATCTATATCTATCCTCATTAAGAACCAAAATGCAGAAGCGTTGTCACCCCTGAGGTCTAAGATGGCATGCCTCATTTCCCGTAAAGAAAGTCTCCGGTTCTCTACTTACCATAGGAAACAGCAGCAATATGCCGCTACTGTACGTTGTTGTTCTGTAAGAGTGTGATCCTTCCCCACGTAAAAGCATTATATGTATTACGTATTTTATATGTGATAGAGCTGGTGCAGCTATATAAAGGTTGTAGCACGAATGGGTCGGCGCGACCAGGGAAGGACCATGCTCTCAGAGAATACCAGTGTTAAATAGCAGCTTAACACTGCTGTGTTTTGTATGGTGAGGCTCATCTTCATTTTCTACCAACTTAAAAAAGGAGGATGTAATCAATTCAACTGCATATTTTTTTGTGTTACCTCCTAACTTTTTTCTGGGTAAACCAATTTCGATGATTTTTTTTATTTGAAAGCTGGTGCTTCAAATGTGGTCCCATATAAATTTGATCAAGGTCTGGCCAATAGTTATTGAGTTATTCTTAATAATTTATTTTGAAGTCTGTTGTACAAAATTTTTAATTTTAAATTATGATTCCTAACGAGGATAGATGTAGATGTCTATGGGCCACAATATCCAGTTACCATTAGGTGGACTGTGTGCTTGCATGTCACCCTTATTTCAATAAAAAAAATTCAAAACAGAACAAGTATTTGTAAGGCTGACAAATAATTGACATAGCTCTGGATGTTTTTTCTAAAAAAAATTGTGGAGGCAGTTTACATACACAAATTGCACAAGGACAACCATACAGACTTGGAACAATTATTTGTTATTTGTAGGACATACAACTACTTGTTTAGTGCGGGATTTGAACTTGGGCACTTTTTTTTTTTTATAGGAGAGGGGGCAAACGAGCATGCGGCTCACCTGATGGTAAGTGACTACCGCCGCCCATGAACAACCGCAACACCAGGGGAATTGCAGATGCGTTGCCGGCCTTTATTACTTTAATGCTATTACTTATTGCAAGAGCCATCAGTTTCTAGCATATGTTTTAATGAGTTTTAATTTAACAAGTCAGTTTGTGTTGCTGCTGTTTATGTATGTAACTAACCTGCTTCCACCTTATAGGAAAAAACAATAGTGTAGGAGTAACGTTTTTAAAAAAGAAAAATGTTAAAAACATTTTTACGTGGTAGAGCCATGCTGCAGCTATATTTATAGTATAGTTGTAGCACAAATGGGTACGGCTCAACCGGGGTAGGAACACTCTCTCACAGAATACCATAAAATAGAAGCATAAAATAGCAGCTTGATGCTTCTGTGTTTCCTTTAGTGAGTGTAGAGAACCGGAGACCCGTTTTACTGGAAAAGAGGCATTCTATCTTAGTCCTAATGGCTGACAACGCATCTGCATTTTAATTCACAAACGAAGATAGATGTAGATGTCTATGCGCCACAGCAGCAACCACTTACCATCAGGTGAACTGTGTGCTTGTTAGTCACCCTTATTCTATAAAAAAAAAAACAAATCTATCTTGAAAACTAAGTATATCCACATCCCAGCAATATACAATATGTAAACATTAAAAATAAACACAATTTAGTGATAACTAGTTACTCGACTCCACAGTCAGTAATTCATTCAGTCCCAGAAAATATACAAGGTCTCTCTATTACTAAGATTAAATTTTACCATTTGTTATTCATGTCTTAATAGCATACAAAAAACCCCCAGAGCTCAATAAAAGATTGTAGTTCGTTGATATTACAGACACACTTCAATTTTATTTATATGAATAGATGTGATAATATGGAATATGTTTTAACAGTAACATTATTTTAGAAAAGATTTGATGAAAACCTGGCGAACTGTTAATGCATGTAGATCAGCAATGAACAGCATCACATCATCGCCTTGCTCCTGCAGTTGCACACAACGCCGCAATGCACCAAAATAGTTGCCGACATGCAACTCGCCAGTAGGCTGGAGCCCTGACACCACACGTCTTGGCCACTCACCGCCACTATCACTGGCCGCTGAGCCATTCTGAAATACTATGAATCAATGCAATTTCTTTCCTGACTTAGAATTCCTTTGGTAAAAATATAATCGTACCTTACTACAGAAAGGTCTAGATGTAGTGCTAAAAAATTTTAGCCGTCGCTTAGTAAAAATAAAACTTTTTGTCATAAACCTAATTGAGGGCGATAATTTTAATTGCAATTCACTTAAAATGCTCATTTTGGAATTTAGCGCTTAATGGTACCAAATATATTATTAATGAATCATAATTAAAATTGTTTTATTATTAAGGTCTATCTAACTAATATCGTGAACGTTACACCACCGCCATAATTCTAAAATCGTAGTCGTAGAGGAGAAAAAGAAAATTACTTATACGTTCGTCGCACGATATCAGGAATACGAACTTTGGTTATCAATTCAATTGACATTTGACAACTTCATTTCTTAATAATTGGCTTTACGGCTCTGGGTTCTAGCCCTTCTGAGCCTGAAGTTACAATGTATAATCATCCTTCATAGTACACTGTTTCACAATATGTTGATGCGTCACATTGTGCAGTCCTTGAGAGATTTTGATGGCAACTTGAGCCAGCAGACAGCTGACAGTTGGCGATGGTATCTCAAGGCGCCTATACAGACAGACACCTTATCTTGAGAATCACATCACCATCAAAGCACTTGTTTCACCGTTTCAACTAATAGTTCACATGCGTAGACATTTAATACACAAAATCGCACCACTTTTTCATATCAAAATCCACTTCAAACCATTATTTAACGGAGCAGAGATCCGTCGCCGGTCAAGTTCCCGCCAAAACTCTTGACAACTTCAATGACAGTGGCAGTCACGGAGTACTTTTTTCATAGAATTATTACGCAAAGAAACGCAGTCTATAATTTTAATTTATCATTGTGTAATGGCGGCTCTTCACGTTGGCCAACATAGTCAAAGAGAATATAACCACTACGTTTAAACATAGTGGCGAATGTGTTGGCAAAGATATTGGCCAAGAATTTGTGATCGCGTCCACACGTTGGAAGGTCGTTCAGTTTGCTTCGGTCACAGAGTACTTTTATATCAGGCCATTGTGCGGACGAATTTATTAAAATGATTATTGAAGCGCTAACGGCTGCTATTTTATATTTAATTTTCACTATTTTTAATATTTAATATTTTTAATATAAATTTTTAATGTTTCTTTATTATACACTAACGTTATACAGATAAGTAAACTATATAAACATTAACACACCTAGGCATAGGTATAATTAACACTTTTACAACTAAGGCCTGGAAAATATTCGAAACCTGTCTATGAAACTGTTGTAAAATTTTATCAAACAAAATTTTTAAAAAGGGTTATTATATAATTATAGAATAAAACTTAATAATAATAATAAATAATTTATTTCTTCAAACATTAAAGTTACATTATACGATCAGTGATCGAGGTCACCTAGTAAGCAAAATAATGCCTGTAACAGGTGACTTCGCTCTTCCGTAGCTAAAAATTACAGTATTATTAATGAAATAAAGTAACTAATAGGGAATAATAAAGACAGTAAAAACATGATTTTAGTATCCTACTTTTTAATTTGATTTTAGTATCCTACCTAGTCTCATAGCATTAATACACCAATAAATCAATTAATACATCAATAAATAAATTAATACATCAATCACTACAACGTGAATGTGTATAAGAAAAGGGTGATCAAAAAGAAATGGAAAAAAAGAAATTTTATTTCTTGACGGCTCAGTGGCGTAGTGGTTTAGCAATGAGTTGCTGCCCTGGGGGGCCGCGGGTTCGAATCCCGCACGGAACAAGTATTTGTATAGCCTGCACATAATTTCTCCGGGGACGGATATTTGTCCTTATGCAATTTATGTTTCTAAACTGCCTCCACGATACAGAAGAAAATCCTAGTGTGCGGGTAACATTTTTTTAAAAAAGACTTGTGTTTCACAAACAATTTTCGGCTTGGTATAAAGCGAAAAGTTTTTTCATTGGTCATTGTTACTGCCGTTATGTAGACACTAGTTATGATGCGTGCATATAAAATTTAAATCAGGTGCGTGCAATCTCTCTGGGAGCTCGTAGCAAACTGAACGAGCGCCCAACGTGTGGACGCGGCGGCCAATACTCTGCCACAATCCTTTGATCTTTTGTAAAAAACCGACACCAGACGGATCTCGCGCCAACTTGTGGGCCATCGTTCCAATACGTACCAACGTAGTTTAAACACCCGCTCTACACGATGGTCATCGTTGTTAGCCAACACATTCGCCAGTATGTTGGCCAACGTGAAGAGCCGCCTTAACGCACACTAGTTATGTATGTATGTAGCTAGTGATGTATATTTTACTTACAATACTAACGAAAAATGATTACTTAGAAAGCGGTAAAAGATTTAAAAAAATTGTTTAGTGCACGAAATTGAATAACTTCAAAAATTAACTGAATTTTTACTATGATAGTTCTAAAATAATTAAAAAATATTCATATAACATGTTCTTCGGAATAAGCTGAACCTGCCTTTTATTTGGATTTTAATTGAAATGTAAAAAATCCCACGTGACTCTACCGCTAAACTTTTAAAAACCTACTCAAGGGTCAGACCCGAAAGTAGGATATTCGAGTAATGATCTTTGGAGAAAAATATTTACTGCCATGGACAGTTTCCCCGGAATTTCTTTTTTAACATATTGTTAATATAAATAGGTAGACACTTAACTAAGTGTATATCTATTTATATTTTATTTATTTTATAAAATGTTTTGATGGGGATATAAAAAACTGGGACACGGAGTACATAATGGCTGCTTTATTTTTCATGTAAGTATTACTTTTGATAATTACAAACGTTTAATAATTAACAATAAAATACATTAAATAAGTTTATTTTAACATTGCCGTGTAGTGGCGGTTAAGAATATCCACTACCCCATATCTTCCCGTGGGTGTCGTAAAAGGCGACAAAGGGAAACAGGCAGGAGATGGGCAGCAGCATCTTCCTGGTAACGGTAAAAATACAATAAAAAACTGCGGTTGCCAACCCGCTCGCCAAGCGTGGCAACTATGGCAATATACCCCCCATGATGAAAGTTACGAAGAGACGGCCCCCAGTCCCCGGCGGCCCCGCTATTCCTAGCTACGGTGGCGACTATGGTAACGGCGGGGCAGGGGGTGCTAAGAATCTCCGGTGTAGATTCGGTTGCCACCTACGACGACTCGACCTGGCAACATACAACGCACGCACCCTGAGGACTGACGAGAAGATTTTGGAGCTGGAAGAAGAGATAGACAAGTTACGCTGGCATATTATAGGATTATCCGAAGTCCGAAGAGAGGGGGAGGACACGGTAATCCTCGAATCCGGCAACTTGCTCTATTACCGGGAGGGCGACCATCTGTCCCAAGGAGGTGTCGGATTTATCGTCCACAAGTCTCTCGTTAACAACGTTGTAAAGATTGAGAGTGTGTCGACAAGGGTTGCGTACCTTATACTCAGAATCACCAAACGGTATTCGCTGAAGGTCATACAGGTTTACGCACCAACCTCGGCACACCCCGATCAGGAGGTGGAGGAAATGTATGAGGATATCTCTAGAGCCATGCATTCCTCCAAAACCCAATATACGGTGTTAATGGGAGACTTCAATGTAAAACTAGGCACAAGAGAGAACGGTGAGCTGAAAGTGGGGAAATTTGGAATAGGGCAACGGAACCCAAGGGGCCAGCAGCTGGCCGACTTCATGGAGAAAGAGGGACTCTTTATGATGAACTCTTTCTTCCAGAAGTGGCCCCACAGGAAGTGAACCTGGTCGAGCCCCGACGGTTAGACAAAAAATGAGATTGACTTCATTATGACGACCAGACGACAACTGTTCAGTGATGTCTCAGTGATCGCGAGGGTGAAAACCAGAAGCGATCACCGAATGGTTAGAGGCACACTAAACCTAAACGTTAAGTTGGAGAGGTCTCGTCTAATGAAGTCAACGCTCCGTCCCCCTCGTGCTCTAATCCAGAGTGCCGAAACCTTTCAGCTCGAGTTACAAAACCGTTTTCAGTGCCTAGAAGACTGCAATGAAGTGGACGATTTGAATGACAAGCTCGTGGAAACTGTCCATGCGGTCGGAGCTAAGTTCTGCAAGACCCGCCGTAGAAGAACACAAAAACTCTCCGATCACACTCTTAATCTCATGGCTGTTAGACGGGAGATGAAGCTACATTCTTCAACAGATTTGACAGCATACAGGCAACTGAACAGACAGATCTCCAAATGCATGCGGCGGGACTTACGCAACTTCAATACAGCTCGTATTGAAGAAGCGATCGAGCGGAACCAAGGCTCCAAAGTCTTTGCCAGAGATCTATCTGCCAGAAAGAGCCAACTGTCAAGGCTGAAGACCGAATGTGGCAGCATCGTTTCCGGGGCACCTGAGATTTTGAGTGAGATTGAGAGGTTCTATGGGCAGCTGTACACGTCATCGTTGGAGCCGCATGCAAGTGTGAGTAACGATCCAAGAGCGAGTCTTATCCGACATTATTCCGATGATATCCCGGACGTCAGTCTGAGCGAGATTAGAATGGCTCTCCAGCACCTTAAAAACGGCAAGGCCCCAGGTGAGGATGGAATTACAGCGGAGCTTCTGAAAGCGGGTGGAAAACCGGTACTTGAAGTCCTTCAGAAGCTCTTTAATTTCGTCCTCCATGCTGGCATTACACCGGAGGCGTGGAGCAGAAGTGCGGTGGTCTTGTTCTTCAAGAAAGGCGTCAACGCTCTCTTGAAGAACTACAGACCGATTTCCCTTCTGAGCCGCGTCTACGTGCTGTTTTCGAGAGTCATTACGAATCGTCTCGCGCGCAGACTTGACGACTTCCAGCCTCCCGAACAAGCCGGTTTCCGAAAAGGCTTTAGCACCATAGACCACATACATACCCTTCGGCAAATTGTACAGAAGTCCGAGGAGTACAATTTGCCACTATGTCTGGCGTATGTGGACTATGAGAAAGCCTTTGATTCCGTCGAAATTTGGGCGGTGCTGCAGTCCCTTCAGCGGTGCCAAGTTGACTGTCGGTATATCGAAGTGTTGAAGTGCTTGTACAGTAGGGCTACGATGGCTATCCGAGTACAGAACCAGAGTACGAAACCTATCCAATTGCAGAGAGGTGTAAGAGAGGGTGACGTCATATCCCCGAAACTCTTTACCG